CCCCCCCCCCCCCCCCCTAGAAGGGTAACACCTTCGGCATATGTCACTGTACTCTATGTTGTCATCCTGAAAAATTCAATGTCTAAAACAGGCCTAAACTTACCAAGGATAAAACACAAACCTAGTTTTTATACAGTATTTCCAAACACATTAAACGTCTTGAAGAAGGATAAATCATACAAACTTTGTGCCTTGGCTTCAGAAACATATTAAGTAAATGACTAAATTACAGTATATCATTTCCAATATATTTGGATTTCTTTAAAAGTAACTGAGCATTTTTAAAAAAAACATTAATTACCTAAACTTGTACTAGACCCCTTGCAAGTGTTTGTACTTCAAAGTTTTATAGAAATACCCAAAATGAAATACTATCAGTTGATTGCAAAGTTCCAAAGTCAAAATTAGAAGTTTTAGAACGAATTTGACTTGGCCAAATAGAGATTTACAACAGGACTACGCATTGTTCCCAAAGCCTGTAAAATAGTACTTTTACTATTTAAAAGATAATCATTAAACTTAAGCACTTTTAGCTTATCTCTGGCAGAGATAAAATGAAAGTTGGTACTACATGTTTAAAATGGTCCTATTGTAGTATAATCTTTGTTTATACGGCGATTTCAATGCAGCAAGTACGATCATTTATATAAGAACTAAAACCCATGCTTTGAATCTGATTTTTTCTAAGTTGTAATAAAATACTCACCCTTGTGAGAAACTGGGACTCGGTAAGGGCACACTGGGCATTCTCTGCGGCTCAATTTTGACAAACGGGCGTTGAAAATTTCCTCGTGAAATTTTAAATTCGGGCGCTCACAACGAACGCCTGATCTATAGACAAAAAGGGTCAAAGATATTAACATTAGCCATGAAACATAATAATTTCGCGCATTAAAAGCTTGAAACTCTTGTAAAATGATAATGATGTTTATGTTTTAATACCGTGTGTCGATCATTTTATAGTAAAAAGTTGAACTGTCATATTTGTTACAAATTCGTTGAGTGTGTACGAGGTCTAAAAGTCATACAACGGGGCCCCCAAAATTGCCCTTTGCTCCCTATTATAAACGCTTGACCGCTATCAGATAGCAGAATACTTACCTGTGTATAAATATCAGGTGGTCAATATCATTGTTTTGAACTCAGATTCTGGAAAACATCGCTCTTTTAATAAACATTTTTGTCTTTTCAGCGTCCATAGGCCGCCATCTTTGTTTAGAGAGTGAATACTTCAAACGCGCATTGTGTCTATAGAGCACGAATGCCCGGGGACCAGCGTCACTACAGTGAATATATCCCGGTCGGGGTATTGATTTTGCCGTTTTCCTGAGGATTTTTAGGCGTTTTTACTCAGGTCAAAAATGTTATGAAATGAAAGCTCAAATACGTCAATAGGACAGGGTTCTACTCTTATCTCATATTATAGCTGAGAATTATACAATAGCTGTAGCCCATAAATTAACCCACTTTGTAATTTAATTGACCCCCATGACCTGGAATGGATGTGATAGCATTTTGGTATGAAAATCAGTATATGTTTGGGCGGGCAGGGAAAACCGCCAAGACCTTGCTCGTACGAAATTTGAACCGGGATTCCTTTTTGTGACAAGGTACGAACCAACCAATCACAGCCTTTCACATTGGCATCAGATTGGCACGCCACAAAAAAAATACAACAAAAATTACAAAATGGCGACCGGCCATCTATTACCGACCACCTTATTTCTCCTACTAATTGCCAGTATCTTAAATGTCGAATCTGCCTCAACAGACAGACCGAATTTCGTAGTATTCATTGTAGATGACCTGGGAATTGGCGATATCGGTTGTTTCGGTAATGACACGATCAAAACTCCAAACATCGATAGCTTGGCATCGCGAGGAGTGAAGCTAAATCATAATTTAGCACCGGCGTCGCTATGCACGCCAAGTCGGGCTGCAACATTGACGGGGAGGTATGCAGTGCGGTCAGGTTTTGCTGCCGGGCCAGGGGAAAGTCGAGTTATATTTCATCTTGCTTTTTCTGGTGGTTTGCCGCACAATGAGACGACTATCGGAGAGATTTTACAAGAATCTGGATACAGAACGGGTTGGTTTGTTGATTTCTGTAGTGTTTGGTCACCATTTCACGTCAGAGTTACTGAAAAATGACCATGCAATGTTTGCTCGAATGATGCATGCACCACTCAAGCGAAGAACGGAAGAGGTTATTTCGCTGGCCTCAGAGTATAAACAAAGCAACGGTTTTACTAACACTAACCCTATTCCAAATACCAACTCTAACCCTAACCATAATCCTAACCTGACCTAACCCTACTCCAAGTTTGTTTCTAAACCAATCTTGAAGAAAAAAGTTTTGACGAAATGTCATTCTGAGGTCAACGAACTAGAACTTGCGGCTAATTAATATTCAGAGTTAATCAATATTCAAGTCAATCTTTTCCCCCAAAATTGACCATCATCTGCAGCCCTGTAACGCTTACTGGTGTACATAAGAACAGTCAGCACCTTCCATGCATGGGACATTACGTCCCGTTTGCGCACTGAATAGTCCATTTGGGTATTTACTTATTGTTTGTTTCTGTGCTCGTTTTGCGTGTGTTGAGCTTTTTGTCATGTAATGTTCATCAAGTTTTATTTTACAGTGGAATTGTCAATAAAATTGTTAAATACCTGAAGAAGAATAAAACACTCGGGTTTCAGCAAAGGTCTTCGTCGGTAGGTTAGCACGACCACTATGGCATCTCACCATATTCTTTATTGATTCCTGTAGGTCTTATAGGAAAATGGCATCTTGGTTTAAACTGCGAGAACAATCACGATTCATGCCATAATCCTCTTCATTCTGGATTTCACGAATATTACGGCTTACCTTTTACAAACGTCCGTGGCGAATGCACGAGACCCGAAGACGGCGGCGTATCAATGGTGGAGAATTTCGAAAAGATATCAAGGCAGCTTATTTTTGTAACTGTGGCACTTGGACTTGCGCTATATCTCTTAGGAATTGTATCGCGAAAGTTTGCGTTGATATTTGTATTAGTTTTGGGAATATGCTTCTCAATACCTCCCTTAGTTTTGAAGAGAATTTTACCAAAATTGAATTGCGTTTTAATGCGGGATTTCGACCTTGTGGAACAGCCTGTTATCATAGAGAATTTGACAGCGAGATTCACAAACGAAGCAAGGAGTTTTATCAAAAGAAACAAAGGGCAACCCTTTCTTCTTTTCATGTCCTATGCAAAAGTCCACACCTCTCTCTTTACGTCACCAAAGTTCAAAGGTAACATAATTTCATAACTGGATTTCCACATGCTATTCGCCCGACTTCTACTAGATACGGATGATCACTTGAGTGGAGAAAGTTCGTCCTGTGACAGGGGTGCATCAATTACCGTTTGCTCCTCCGTCTGGGGGAGCGTCTGGTCAAACAGGCTTCACTACTCCCAATCACTTCACTACTCCCAATCAGCCTCCAATTATGAACTTTTTCGTCAGACCGCTCCTGGATAGGGGAAGAAAATGGCCTTTCCCAATATGGGGTGGGGAAATAACCCAACTATGTAAAGTATCCAGTGCCCAAGGGTAGCTCTGAGTTATAGAGTTGAGCACTTCAACTTCATTATTATTATTGTTAGCGGTTTCACTTCAATTTTATAAAACCTAATAGGACACAGTGTACATGGTAACTATGGTGATAATGTCGAAGAGATGGACTGGAGTGTCGGCGAAATTGTCGCGAGTCTTAACGAAGAAAATCTTTTGGAGAACACAATGGTGTATTTTACTTCGGATCATGGACCGCATTTGGAGGAGACTGTCGATTCAGGGGAGTACTGTGGTGGCTGGAGAGGGTTGTATACCGGAGGTATTAAAATGATTTAGCAAAATTTCCGAACGCACAACCGGAATTTTGGGGCATGTTCATTTGATCGCATTTCAGCAGAAACTCACCTGCGGAAGATCCGTATGTCCTTGTTAATCTATAAATCATTGTGCGTAATCACATGTAGAGGCGAGCGAACAAGTGGGATGTCAAGGATGTCAGTCAAGTTGGATAAAATATCCATTTATATGCTTCATTCCACCTGAGCGGGATGAATTTTTTTGGACCTATATTTGTGCTAGATATCATATTTTGCAAGATTGTAACAGATAAATTTAATGAAAATATTGCCGAATGTCCGCGAACTTTGTCGGAGAGCCTGCTGACTGCTAACCAACATTCTCCTTTTTTAGGGAAAGGTCAGAATTGGGAAGGTGGTATCCGTGTTCCAACAGTCGTTATGTGGAAAGATCATTTTCCTGAAGGTATTACGATCAACGAACCAACCAGCACAATGGATATCTTTACAACCATGACTAACCTAGCTGGAGGCAGTGTCCCTAATGACAGAATTATCGACAGCAAAAACATCCTTCCCTTGTTAAAACAAGAGGAATCAGTCTCCCCTCACGAGTTTATGTTCCATTACTGTGGTTCCTCGATACATGCAGTGAGATATAGGCCTCGGGCAGGTAATACCACCTGGAAGGCACATTTTGTCACTCCTATATGGTTACCGGGGAAACAAGAGTGTAAAAGAGAGGATATTGTATGTGGGTGTTTCGGCGATGAGGTTATGCACCATGATCCACCATTGCTCTACGATATCACCAATGATCCATACGAACGTCACCAGCTTGATACAAACCAGGATATCATAGTCAAGATAAACGAAGCAATGAAGAACCATAAATCAGGAGTGAAGCCTGTGCCATCTCAACTCTCATATCCCCACGATGTGTGGAGCCCATTTCTTCAACCGTGTTGTAATTTTCCGTATTGTTCTTGTGTTGAAAAAGCTTAAAATGTGCTCCGCAGTCTTCAGGTGATTCACAAAATTATTGATAGTAACACTAAACCGGTTAGCACTTTTTTCCATCCAGCAAACCGCCCTATCGATTTTGTAAAGTCGTTTCTTTTTGGATTTTTTTTATTAATTTGGTTGAGGTTAGGGTAAGGGGTTAGAGTTGGGGTAGGGTTTGGGTTAGTTACATAGCCATTTAACACCTCTTCCATCTTCCAAAAATGACGTCAGGTCAGTTTGCTGGATGGAAAATTGTGCTAACCCAGTAAACCACGGTTTTGTATTCTGGCTAGGTACGGTTAAATTCGTTCGCGCTTGGAATATACAATTGACTATGACAAATTATTTAATTAAAATGGTTGTATTATTCAAGAAATCAAACGACAACAAAGAGTATCTCCATTTTGTTTATTAGAAGTTATATTTTAAATTTTGAAGTGCTCTTTCATTGACTGGATTTTTCGAGGATATTTTAAGACCTGGCATGCCTGGTTTAACAATATATACCAGATAATAAATTTTTGTCTCAAACTTTCAATAGTACGTCCCTAGTCTACTCGGATATTAACGAACGGCTAATTTTACTAATATGATTTCATATGTACCTAGATATACCTAGCGACCACCAACTGTAGTCCAACCATCACTGTTATCCCCTTCTGGCTTCCGGTCACGATCACCAGTGGCACCGCTGCCCCCTTTACGAGCCGCCGACCATGAACGACCTAAAACAAATGATAGGAAATTGAAACATGAGTCCTTTTTCTCGCAAATACATTTCAAAAACTTCTCATATCTTTACAAGTGTAAGCACTAGCATGACCTACAGTGAAATGAGACAGGTCATAAAGTAACTGCTAGGGTGGGCTGGAATGATTTGGGATGGGCCATGGAAAATTTTTGGGCAGTTTCGATGGGCCGCCAATTTTTTTGTATGTCCACGGTTGGGTCACCAAACAAAAACCATGTTAATTATATATTATATAAAGATATTAATAATCGAAAAGTAAACAAAACTATCCAAATTATCAAATGTAAATGTTGCTATTGAAGCCAGTACTTTGCTTTATACAACAACAAGAAGTGGTCGAATCACAGCAAATACAACCAAATGGAGAACAGCTCAGTATCGTAATTGGTGATGAATGTGTTGGTCAAGCTAGGTGGAATTATGTACAGTGTATGTCAATACAGTGCCGGTGTATATTTACAATGTTCATACCTGCAAGTATTTTTTTATTATAAAAGTGTATTTTCCCAATTTGGATGGGTGGATGGGTCATGAAATAAATTTGGTAAGATTAGATGGGCTTTGAAATTTTTATCTACTTCCTAATATAAGATGGGTCACCAAATTTATTGGCAAAATTTGTGATTTACCTCCAACCCACTCTAGCAGTTACTTTATGACCAGTCCCTAACCCA